CGGGGTCGGTCTGGCGCGCCGGCTCCCTCTTGCACCGTCGCTCGGGGGACGCCGGTCTCCGGGAGCCCCGCCCCGGCGCCTCGGGGGGCCCCCCCATCGTGCTCGTCCCCGCGGCGCCCCGAGCCCTTTCGCTGCCATGAGCTCCTTCCGCGGGTTCCCCTTTCCCTTCCGGCCCCACGGGGGGCCCCGGTGCACCCGCCACCTGCGGCGCCCCGCACCCCGGGACCCCGGAGGGGGGAGGAGGAGAGGGGGTGGGGTCTGGCCCGTCGTCTCCGATTAAGGAACGGGCTGGGCGAGCCCCGAGCCCCCGACCCTTCCCGGCCAGGCGGGAGGGAGGGAGCCGAGCGGTCGCCCGAGCCGTGCGCGGCCGCCGCGCGGACCCCTTCTGTAAGCCCGCGGCAGAGCGCAGTTTTGGGAGTCACGGTGGCCGAGTGGTTAAGGCGTTGGACTCGAAATCCAATGGGGTTTCCCCGCACAGGTTCGAATCCTGTTCGTGACGGCAGCTTTTTTGTGTTTGTGTTTTTAAAACACCCCCCCCCCTTCCTATTGAAATGAGGAAATAAAAAGACCGCACCACTTCCCTGGGTCAGGTCCGGGTAGCGTGGAAGCTGATTATACACAGCTGTATCGGCCGCTCGCACACCAGGCACTTGGAGGATTCTGTAGCGGTGCATGGGATGAGGAAGGATTTGAGTGAAGATGGGTTTTGTTTGGGAATGTGGATGTTATGCAATGATAGGCAAGCCTGAAATTTCCAGGACAAGAGGGCATCTTTGAAATCCATGGCCTGATGACACCGGAGACCCAACAAACAAACATTCTCTCATTTGGATTTTTCTTTTTTAAATTTTGGGCAGGACCTCATGTATCCAGGCTGCCCTTGACCTTGTCCTGTAGCTAAGAATGACCTTGAACTTCTGATCCTCCGGCCCTGCTTTTCAAGTGCTGGCGTTACCGGTGTGAGCCAGCCAGCATACCAGGGTCACGCCGTGCTGGGACCGGGGTTCAGGTATATGCTAAGCAAGCCTGCATTTGAATTTTCTTGAGACTAACTTCAGGTATTACAAGCCTATTGAAACTTAACCACCGCGGATCCCGCAGCGGAGACAATAACTCGGTACTGAGTGCTCGTTGAGTACCAGAAACAGGTTAAAATCTCTATGTATATTAACCAAGCCAGGGAACGCATCCTTTCTCAACCTCTTACCCTTCCCTACCTCTTGGAGACTACTTGTTCTTTTTATATTTAATTTCTTGCATAGCAAAATCTCCTCCATCCTTGGAGCTCTGAGGATTCATGGAGCTTGTTATGTATTTGTACCGGTTTCCGCCATCATATGGGTATCTCACCGGCACCCTAACACTCTGCCTGGCCTCACGGCCATCACTAAATCCTCTGCACTCCTTAGGCTAGTTCTCCTCAATGCCCTGACTCACTGCAGCTGGAACCTATAATTCTTCCACCACCAATGAGTTGCGTGCAAGGAACTTTCTGTTCCTTTGCTTTTTCAGACAGTCTCAGTGCAGCCCAGAGTGGCCTGCTTGAGACTCACGGTAATCCTCCTGCCTCGGTCAGCTGACTGCTAAGATTACATTTGAGCCACCACACCCACCTTGCAAGGAATCTCTTCTTTCATTAAAAAAAAAAAAAAAAAAATTGAGCCACCACACCCACCTTGCAAGGAATCTCTTCTTTCATTTAAAAAAAAAAAAATCTATTTATTCCGCCTTCTAAATATGTTTTAAATCAGCCCAGTTGTGTGGTGGTCCTACCACTTGTCAGTCTCTGAGAAGATGCAGTAGGCTGGGGCGTGTCTTCGGGAGGCAGAGGCAGGTGGCTCTCTGTGAGTTCAAAGCCAGCCTGGGCTACAGAGTGAGTTCCAAGACAGCCAGAGCTACAGAGTGAGACCCTGTCTACCTCTGAGGACCGTGAGTTTCTATGTCTGGGTGCACTGAGGCAGCCACCACGCGGCCACTAACCTTACCCCCGGCCGTGGCTGTTGGTGTGGCAGGACCTAACTGACACTTATAACCACTCTTCCCAGGTTATCTGGCCTTGTCCAGGCTGTTCTGTGCTGACAAGCTCTTCCTCATCCTTGAGTCCTTGGTCTCCTCTGGTCGGATGTGATGCCTTGTGTGTACAGTCCCGGCATTGGGAAAACGCACCGGGAAGATTGCTGTCAGTTCAAGGTCCGATGACCTCTTTGAGTAAGGACGCAGCTGAGCTGGTGGAGTACTGGAGCATGTGAGGCCTTGGGTTCAGTTCCTAGAACTTCATGAACTGGGTGTGATGGGCACACACCTGTGA